ATTCACCATTCACTACAGAGGGATTCAAGTATTGGAAGCGAGTTAATGACGGCGACAGATGCTCCTTCTTACAACATGTTGGAGGCCCTACTTCATCACATAATAATGCTGCAGCCTCTATTGATTGTTTGATGAATGTGCCTCATCATGTTGATAAGATAATCAATGCACAAACTTTAGAGGAGAAACAAAAGAATAGATTGCGTCTAACAGCAACTATTGAAAGCATCCGATGGCTCACTTTGCAAGCATGTGCATTCAGAGGACATGATGAATCTACATTATCAACTAATCGTGGAAATTTTATCGAAATGATAAAGTTCATGGGAAGAATGAATGATAGCATTGGAGACGTAGTCTTAGAGAATGCTCCAAGAAATGCGAAGTATACTTCTCCAGAAATTCAAAAAGATGTTCTAAATATTCTTGCTCACCAAGTGAGATCCAAAATTCGTGAGGAAGTTGGAGCCGCGAAATTCTGCATTTTAGTGGATGAAGCGAGAGATAACTCCAACAGAGAGCAAATGGCGATTGTGTTGAGGTTTGTCGATATTGATGGCTTTATAAGAGAACGTTTTTTTGCTATTGTTCATGTCCTTGATACAACCGCCGCGACGCTAAAGAAAGAAATATCAGATGCTCTAAATCGATATGATTTGCAAATTCAAAATATGCGGGGACAAGGTTATGATGGTGCTAGCAATATGCGTGGCTCGTGGGGTGGATTGCAGGCTCTATTCTTGAAAGATTGTCCGAGTGCATATTACGTGCATTGTTTCGCGCATCGACTTCAACTAGCATTGGTTGCAGCTGCTGAAAAAGAGGTATCCATTTGGTTATTTTTTTCAAAATTGAATGCTATCGGTAATCTTATAAATGCCTCTCCCAAACGCCATTGTGATTTGCAAGTTGCTCAAAAAAATAAAATTGCATTGGAGATAGCAATGGGGCAGCGTGAGACAGGTAGAGGGAGTAATCAAGTTGGGAATTTACTCAAGCCAGGAAAAACTCGGTGGAGTTCTAATTTTGACTCACTTAGTAGTATGATAGATATGTATAGCTCCGTGATTGTTGTGTTGGAGAAAATGGTGGATGAGGGATCTTCTAATTCCATTCGAGGTGAAGCGAGTGGTTTTTTGATTGCAATGAAGTCTTTTGATTTTATATTCATATTATACTTGATGCAAAAGATAATGGGAATAACAAATTTACTTTGTCGGGCATTGCAAGAGAAGTCTTTAGATATTTTAAGTGCAATGGACAATATTTCATCTACTAAAACGTTACTTCTAACGTTGAGAGAAGAAGGTTTTGGTACCCACCTTCAAATTGTGAAGGATGTTTGTGTCAAGTATGATATTGAGGTGCCTCAAATGGAAGCTCTCTATAAATCTGCTACACGCCGTTCAAGTCATCAAAGTGATTCAATCACAGTTGAGCATCATTATCATTTTGATGTATTCAACTCCGCAATAGATTTTCAAATTGAAGAGATAAATAGTAGATTCAAGGATGAAGCAGTTGAACTTCTTAAGCTTAGTTGTGCCTTGGAACCGAAAGAAGGCTTTAAATTGTTCAATGCGGATCATATTCATCGTCTTGCCGAACGCTTCTATCCTTTTGATTTTGATGGTCAAGATTTGCTCCACTTAAGATTGCAATTGAACCATTACGAGCTTGATATCATTACTAATGAGAGATTTCAAGACTTATCTACTATTTCTGAATTATGTCGAAGATTAGTTGAGACAAATAAGTCAAAAATCTACAACTTGATTGACAGGTACAACCGAAATTGTCTTTAAGTCATTTTTGTAAATTAAGTTCTAGTATATTTATTCGATTTAATTTATTTAATTTATTTTTCAGGTTAATTCGTCTTGTTTTGACTCTTCCTGTGTCTACGGCAACTACAGAGCGAGCGTTTTCGGCTATGAAACTTGTCAAGACTGTTCTTCGTAATAAGATGGAAGAGGAGTTTCTGGCGGATTCCATGACTATTTACATTGAAAGGGAGTTAGTCGAAAAGATTAGCAATGATACTATAATTGTCGAGTTTGAAACTAAAAAAAATCGGAGGTCGCAATTTCATTAGCCCCAGGTATTTCAAAATTCTAGCTCCGCCCCTGTGTTGGGTATTATGCCAAAAATTCAATTAGCAGTGTTTGTCTTAGATCATCCGTACCACCACCACTAACCCGTCCGTCGCCACCCCTACAGAGGTGAAATTGATTAATTAGCATAACAATCTGTAAATCTAGTTTTTTTCAGAGGTTAATTCATATCAAAGATTTTTCTCAGGAACTCGGAATCCCGATAGATTGTACTCCGGCAAGATTTCGATTGAGCAGCGACAGCCACTCAACCAGCTTCGGGTACCAGCGATTTGCAGTTCGTCATCCCGCTGCTAAGACCGTGTAGCTCGACATCGGGTAAGACTGAAACATTTTTTTGAAGTAGATATTCACCCTTTAATGCTTTGCAGATATTGAACCTATTATTATTTTCTTTATTTGTTTTCTGATGCGCCTTAAATTCCCGTAATATGTTGGTTTCAGATTCTACCCAATTTTTTATCTTCTCATGGTCGACGTTCAGTTACACGAGTTTCCGGTGGGGTCGCTGCTTGAGATTCAATACTCGAAGACTAATAGGTTTTGATTTTGTCATATGTCTTGGTTTCTGTATTGTTTGGCATGTACAATTGTATTATTGTATTATTGTCTTTTCCCATATGTCAACTATAAAAGACCGTTGTTTCTGAATATTTGTTGACTTACCAAATATATATATGAATTTTGTGTGTTTATAGGTTTTTTCTTATATTTTTTTTCTTTTTTTTTCGGTTGTGTTATGTTGTGGCAATTAGTGAGTCTATAAAGGTTCCATCATCACTAGAAGTTGTTGATGCTGGTCATGATTTGATTGTTGCTGCTAATCCACAACCATCTTAATTGGTTTGAAGAATGATTTTGAGTAGGTGATAACTTTGTTAAGGTGGAATTCAGTTAGTCTTTTAGCTCCTCTTTGTGATTTTGTTATTGTTTAAAATATTGTTGGTTTATTTCTGTACCCTAAAACATGTTAATCTTGTAAGCATGGATTGATTCAGGTGATGTCTATTGTTGTTTTCATGGATCATATTTTGGAGAGTAATATTTTGTGTGCTGCATTGAAAATTCTTTTTATATTCAACATACGTGCTCTGGATACCTTAGTTCTGTGTTTCATATCAGCATAAATAGGTTTCAATGGATTGGGATCTCCATTTAGACCTTTAGTTAAGCTCAAAATAATGTTGGCATGTTGATTACTTTAGATGGTATTGTATGATTATTTTGAAAAGCGAATACTTTTTGTTCTCATGCCAGATTTAGTTGGCTCCAGATTAAGGAAATGGTGTTGTTCTCACTTCTCTGTTTCTAACCAATTTCATATTGTTGTGTGGTTATTGCAGCATTGCAATTTTCTTTTAACAGCTCACTAATTTGATGGTGGCTAGAAAAACCTGATTTTCTTTTTGTTCTATTTGTAGCTTTGTGAGTTAAGTATTGGATCTTACGAGTCTTTGTGATCTCAGAATGCATAGAAGTGTGACAGTGTGATTGAAGAACTAGAATATAGAAATGGTAGTTGATAATGTTGAGACGCAACTGTTGATTATGTTGAGGAACTTATCTGTTTCGGCTTTCCAGTTTAGTTTTCTTGAAATGTTTGTTTTTTGCAGAGTCTGTGGGAGTTTCAGTTGCTTTGTGTATTTATTGCACAGTTGGAACAAGTTTTCTATTTGGTTATATTCATCCTACAGTATTTGCTGCCTACTTGTGCCTGACATCAATTTTGTTTGGCATAATTGCTATCACTTTTTTTGCTTAATTTTGTGCATTTGAGTTTGTTAAGCAGTACAATTTAACTCTCTTACCTGCATAGAATGTCAGTGTACACTTAAAAGAGAAAAACTCAGTGCTAGACAATTGAGAATTCATTTGTTCTTATGGGTTGCTTGGACACGTGAGGAAGAGAGATTTTTTTTTTCTCCTCTACGGCAAGTTGGCAAGGACTTGAACTACAAAAAGAAAAGAAAATAATGAAAAGTGAGACAATCTGCTTAATATTTGATCAAATGAACCTAAACCATATACTGAAGCGAAATTAGACACTACATTTTTTATACACTGAAAATTGAGCACATCCTGTCATAATATTAGTTTTGTTAGACTCAACCAGAAAGCCAAGTATGCACTCCTTTAGTCTGCGGAGTTCTTTTTCCTGTGGACTGGATGTAAGAGACTGAGCGAAGTACATAATTTATAATTTATTTACATAATTTATATTAATATATTAATAAATAATATTAGTGTACGATAAATACTTATTATTTAAACTAAAAATAAGAAGAAGATTACTTCTATAACTTTTATAAATAATAATGATGACATTATATTTCCACAAATTTTATAATAAAATAATAACGAAATATTAAGTTGTGAATAAGAATAACTAAAATTGTTATTTTTTCTTATATCAAGTAATAAATATATATATTATAATCAAATTTATATTAGTATAAACGTGTTAGTGGTTTAATATATTAATTAATTTATAGGCTACTGCTAACGGATCAAGTTTAGCGCTCTGGCTAAAAAATCAACTCTGATTAAAAGAGGTGGAAAATAAATGATCCAATTCTACTTTTTTTTTTTCCACGCCTAAGAGCCAAACCATACGAAAATGACTCATTTAACATCTCTAAGAAGTAGATAATAGATGATCCAACTCTATTTTTTTTCTTTCTTTCTTCAGGTCTAAGAGACAGGCCATATGCTAATGATGCATTTAACATTTCTATCCCGGTAATGATGCATTTAACATTTCTATTCCGGTAATGATGCATTTAACATCTCTGTCTCGTGCATCGCACGAGCTACGTACTAGTGGTGAATAAAACTAATTAATGGATGAATTGGGATTTGGGATAGAAGGAAGGTAATGGATTTTAATCTTTTAGGCTTTTATTGTTGGGCTAAGTTTTTTGGGCTTATGTTATTGGGAAAATTCAAAAAATAGGCTAACATAAAAATACATGGGGCTATCTACAAAAATAATCTAAAATGTAAAGTAATTTTTTTTTTTTAATTTACCTGGGGCTGGAGCCCACCCTAGCCCATGGTTGGCACTAGACATGGCCAAAACACGGGCCGGGTCACGGCCCGCGCAGGGCTCAAAAATACTGACCCTAAACCGACACAGACCTATACTCGTGTCGGGTTCGTGTCCGGGTCGGGTTCATTACTTTTTAAAAAATAATAGAAAAAAATAAAAAAAAAAAAGAAAAAGAGGCAATTTGGCCCGGCTCGGACCCGCAAGTCGGGTCATGAAATGGATGACCCTTACACATCCCGTATGAAATCCGGGCCGGTCCCAGACCCGTGGTCAACAAGTTTGACCGTGCCGGATCCGGGCCGGGCGGCCCTTTGACCATGTCTGGTTGGCACCACCTGACTATAATTTACTATCTATTTTAGAAAAATTTAATAGCCAATTAAATAAACCTTTCCTAGATAATACACTCGAGAAAATAAACAATAGTTCAGTAAAAACTAAAAAGTAAAAACACCCCTGAAAATTGCCAATAAAAATTCCACCAGCTAATCACTAGGTCCACTACCGTACTACTATAGCATTTTCGCAATTAACTAATTTAGATACAATTTTAAAGAAAGACATGGAAGATGGTGGCCGTTGACTTTGACATTAGTTTGCGTTTGGGCCATGGGCCCTCAGCCCACATTTCCAATGTTAATTATAAGACTATTGACATCAAATCTCCGCAAGTTCGGCTTTTGGTACGTTATGGACAATCCTAACCCCAAAGAGGTATTGTAGTATAGGAAATTGCCATATACTCTGAAAAAATCATTACACCATGCCACACACGATCATTTCTAATTAGTCAAATAAGAGGAGAGAAATAAAAAACCAGTAAATTGACAGTAATGCAGCCATTGCAATAATGCAATTTACTAAAAACCTCTCCCCCTTACCTATGAATATTGGCTCATTTCTTCTCCGTTTAGAGATCACACACCGTCATGAAGACAAGGAGAAAGTCTTTCGACGATAATCTGCGGATATTTTTCGAGTCATCGAAGCTCTGATTTTTCTCATTCTCTCTCTATATATATATATATATATATTTTTTTTAATAATAATTTGGTGTTAAATTCGCCTGGAGGGAAATGGTTTGGAGCAATCCACTGAAGGAAGTGGCGGCCTCCAGGCCATTGTTCCTGACGATCTACGCCACTGTGATTATCGGAATTTTAGTGTCGTCGTTTTACGTGTTCTCGGCCGTTTTCTCCGGTCCGAATTCCGCCTCTTCTCCGTGGTTCTCCACCTCAGCTGCCATCGGCGGTGAGTACAGTTTTTGAGTTTAAGAGTCTGTGATTGTAATGCAGATGCTTTTCCAAGCGATGTTTCCGTGTGCTTGTCGGTCCTGTAATGCGAGTGCCTTGCTCTTTGTGGCGGGTTACTTACTAGTTACTCCCTGGTTTTATTTTGCTTTGAGCTATAGATTTGGTGAAGTGCAATTCGATTGTGGTGGATTTTTGGAGATTGATCGTACGAATCATGCAGATGGGTTGACTCTGTGAACTAAAACCTATTTTGTCTAAGCACACACACACACGAGCGATTGATGTTCTGATCAATGAAAAAGATGTATGTGATTACTATGAGGGGTTGTGTGGGGGAGGTATTTGAAGGTCTGACATTAATTGGACAATTTTTCATTTTAAGTGAAGAGTTAGGTTCGTGTATCTCATCACTCATGTATTACACAAATATCACTATTTTGTCAATTATTCTTGCAAGATTATGTTGTTGAATTGTATTCATTCGCATATGGGGACAAGATTCTTAGTTTGTTTTAATGTTCCACATTAATCGTCATAGAAGTTGATTCTTTGTTTGTAACCTTCTCTTCTTTAGAGCTTTTTGCAATCTTCAATTTAATCGGCTTGGTCTGACGCAATGAATGCATTAGCCACGACAGATGTAGAAAGTTGATGGTGTGTCTAATTTTGATTGCTAATACAATTTTTATTTTTACTCTTCTTGCATACTATAAAAGCAAGTCCACCATCCTACAATCAAGCATCCAATTTGTCTCACCAAGTATGGGCCGGCGAGGCTCCAGGTTCAGCTTCTCTGACTCAAGAAGTACCTTTAGAACCTATTTGGAAGCCCCCCCCTCCAGGTTCAAAAATGCCACCTTTGGAGACTTTTCGGCTGTCAAAAGAACTGGTACAGAAAAGAGTGAAAGATAATGTAATAGTTGTGACCTTCGGTAACTTTGCCTTTATGGATTTCATCCTGACCTGGGTTAAACACTTGTCAGATATGGGCGTTAATAACCTTCTTGTTGGTAAGCTCTATGGGTTCCCCCCTCCCCCTCTTATGGGATAGCTTATCCTTTGCCAAATAACTTCTATGGTAGTCTAACAAAGAAGATTTTTGTCTGTCAGGTGCAATGGACACAAAACTGTTGGAAGCTCTTTATTGGAAAGGTGTTCCAGTGTTTGATATGGGTAGTCACATGAGCACTATAGATGTTGGATGGGGTACCCCTACTTTTCATAAGATGGGGAGGGAGAAAGTTATTCTGATAGATTCTATCTTACCTTTCGGCTTTGAACTACTGATGTGTGATACTGACATGGTCTGGTTAAAGGTACTTCATGCTTAAATTTACTAGCTTTTCTTATTTCTTTGGAATTGTTTTTTAAGTTGATGAGTTCAGGCTATTTCATGTGGGTAATATTAGTTCTGATTACCATGAAAACTGCTGCTTTTGCAAGCTTGGCCTTTATCCTTTTATATATTCAAATGAATAGAGAGGCACTATGTTTGTAGCTGCATGCTTTAAGTGTGTAAGCGAACTATACAAGCATCCTTGTGATCTCTATTTTTTTTTCTAGTTGAAAGAGATGATACTCTAGTAGTTGTTTCATGCCCTACTCATATACCTGAAATGAAGAGGATAAGGTCGTAGCTGCTATGTTTAATCTCTGCGCAATTTTTGTTGAACAGAACCCCCTACCTTATCTTGCACGTTTTCCTGAAGCAGATGTGTTGACTTCCACCGATCAAGTTTCACCGACTGTAGTAGATGACCGCTTGGATGACTGGAGGACAGGTAATTCTTCCATGGAAGAATTTTCTGTTGCTTAGTTTCTTTTTCCTTGATCCTAGAAAAAGTTAGTCGATGTCCACAGTTCAAGGAGACATTTTCATCACCTTTTTATAGGAATTGGTTGTTCGCAGTATTAGTAGAGTTCTCAACTTCTGGCTTTTGAGATACTTCCTAATCCCTGAAAATGATTTACAGGATTATTTTAGTTCCTCATTATATGTTGCCTCAGGTTTCTTAGCAATGTCCGAATGTCGTAAGTCAGCATGTGGAAAGTGACTAGGATGAAATTGATATATTTGGGTAACCGCTACAAATTTTAAGAGACAACGGGACAGATTTTATTCGGGTAGTTCACTGTCGTGAAACTAGATGAGTTGGTTGTTTAAATTGTAAATTGTAGTCTTGTATTAATAAAGAGGAAGTTTACTTTGTCTAAGGACATTGTGCATTGAATCTTTCTGAAGAAATTTGTTGAGAACTCGAGAATTTTGATCATTTATTAACGAAGCAGCTTGCTTAATATTTGATTGTTCCTTCATCCTTGCCCAATTTATAGACATAAGAAACATCATACTTGTTCTACTTCTCCATCACAAGATTTTGAAATTAAGAATCTTTTCTCTATAAACAGCTGGTGCAGCCTATAACATAGGAATTTTTCACTGGAGACCAACTGCATCTTCAATGAAACTTGCAAAAGAATGGAAGGAATTGCTTCTATCTGATGAAAAAATATGGGATCAAAATGGTTTCAATGAAATTGTTCATAGACAGCTGGGCCCATCTGTTGATGAAGACAGTGGACTTGTATATGCTTATGATGGAACCCTTAAGCTTGGCCTTCTCCCAGCAAGTATATTTTGCAGTGGTCATACATACTTTGTCCAGGTCTTTACAATCCCTTTCCATCTATCCCCATGAACAAAATTTTATTGGAATCAATTAAAGATCTTAAGGGTGCATATTGTTTGCAGAACATAATTCTGAAAATCCTTGAAGTGTAATTGCTGACACAGGTGCATTAATTTTTTCTTTACTTGGCAGGCCATGTACCAACAACTTAGGCTGGAGCCTTATGCTGTCCATACCACATTTCAGTATGCCGGTACTGACGGAAAACGCCACCGGCTACGTGAAGCTATGGTTTTCAATGATCCACCAGAATATTACGATGCACCAGGTTCTCATTGCCCTGTTCATTCTCTTTTAAGCTTCCAACAGATTCTAACTCTTTAGTATCTTTTGGAGGTATTTCAAACTAATTAATGTGATTAATCAATTTTTTGGGTTTAAATTAATTCAATTAATTATTTTTTTGGGTTTAAATCAATTCAAGTAATGATTGGACCTAATTGAATTTGGCTATATGATAGGAACAATAAAAACTAATGTATATGATGTGGTGGCTTATCTCATGAATTTCTTATAGTATGATTTTTAAAATGTTGGTATTGTCAACTGATAATATGAGAGCTTCAAATGATTTTATCGTAGGCAAGATAGGATGTTAATGATATGCGGAGTAGTATGAATTCAAGAAAATTCTATAAGAAGGATTGTATATCAGTGCAGTTATAATACTCTTCATCCGATCTTTGTTATAGCTTGTTACCAAATGCAGCTTTTAAGGAGTATGTGCTTGATACGTTATAATGTCGTTTAATAAGGTAGGTTAAGAAGATTTTTAAACAAAAAATTAAAACATAAATCCATTCGAGGAAATCAAACCTTACTTTAGGGACATCCAAAGGTTTAAATGAGGAAGCCAATGAAGTCACAAGTAAAAAAGATATTCATAGGCAACTTCTCAGTTACTCATATTCCTAAAAAACTCTTTCTTTCATCGTAAGCAACAGTTCTGACTGCCAGCCAAGTATATCATAATGGGAATGAGTCTTGGTATGTAAAACGTGGAGAATTCCATTTAATGGTTTTACAAATCGATTTTAGAAGCGTGTAATCCTATCGAAATGTGACAACTTGGTGTGGAATAAGTGTAGAAAATTCCATTTTATGCCTCTTCATTTTCCACTATCAAAGATTGTAAGTTAAATTCTATTTGCTTTGTGGACAACGGTATGCAGGAGGATTTTTGACATTCAAACCTAATATACCAAAGAACTTGATGTTAGATGGAGAACACAATGTTGAGTCACACTTCGCTCTAGTTAATTATCAGGTATGTGATTTGTTCAGTTTTTCACCTTCTATAGTTGGAATGAGAACCATATATTATGCTGACAACTAACCTTGATTTTCAGATCAAGCAGATACGTACCGCACTGGCCATTGCTTCATTGTTGGGCCGCACACTGGTCAGAATTGCTGATCTTTGACATCTTAAATTCTCCTGCAATTAGTTCGGCTCCTTTTTACTTCCTATCGAGGATCTTTCTTCTACTGTCTTATATTCAAATTTGAGTTACACATTTGGCTTGTGATACGGATTGGTGACATGATATGTTGGTTACTTTGTGTTTCTTTTTAGTTCTTCCTGCGTATAAGTTTGTTATATTATCAACCTGTATTAGCATCCTGGCTCAAACTTTCTATTCTTAATTTGGTAAAATTTATCCCACCGTTTAGTTGAGGCTCCTTCGTGTTATTGTTGCTTTGAAGCTCCTTACATTGAACAAGTACACAAATGGTTTCATGTTAAAGAGCGTATGGTTTTACTTTTGTTAACTTCTATTTGTGTGGGCTCATGATCATAATGTCTATCTGATGTCTAGCAAATGTTTGTTTCTTCTGATGTGTTTCTATTTGAGTTATTTCCTTTTTTGTGCTGCCTGTATTCTGGTTCTTGTTTGCCTTTACTAGGATTACTGTTTCTAAGAAGTGTAAGATGTTGACATTGGAATGATATGTAATATTCTGTTAAATCTTTGACTAATTCTGGTGTCTTTACCCTGTTGTCAGCCACTTAGTTTGAATCGCCATATATTATCCATATCAGACACTTAGACCTCCTGTATCTGGTGCTAAGTACTGATCAATTTCTTCTCATCCATTTATATTTTAGTCTGAAACACAGTAACTATTATTGACTTCTTGTTTTGGATCCTGGGAAGGTATAGTCTGTATATGGACATAAGAAGGCGAGAGCTTTTCAGTTGTGGCCTAAAATATATTGGAGTTGACCACTGAATTCACCTTGTAATCAAAATAAAGAAATGGCTTACTATTGATCATACTTCTGACGTGACATGAGAATTCTCTTCTGTATATAAATAATATGCACCTGCTTTAGACCATAAAATACTCAACCTTCGTAGAGATGTCGTACAAGGAAAATGAGTTTACTCTAGAGTTTATCTAGTTTGCTCACACTGGTTATTTTGGAGTTCACTTTGTGATTTTTTTTCTTATTTGTGATTTTAGGTAATGCCATCACTATGGTGCAGGTTGGATAGGCTGTGGTTTGGACATCCCGGGATATTGGAGGGAACTTTGACTAGGCAACCATTTTTATGCCCTTTGGATCATGTGTTTGAGGTATTGACCATTCTCCTGGAACTGCAGACTTGATATGTTTTTCTCAGTATTAGAAACCTGCAGGAGGTGTTATATCTTTCGCTTAAACATTTATTTTCAGTAGGTTAAGTTAGATCTTTTTTCTGTGTCGGGTATTTTGTTGTGAAACTAAGTTTGGAAGCGAAATAGAAAGTTTGTGCACTTGTTTTCAAGCAAAACTCTTAAATTTTCCGGATGATGAAATATATTATGCGATTGCTGGCTAGTGATTTCCCAGTGAACTTAGAATAGTTTTCCATCAGTAAATTTACCGTCTTTTTTTTTCACTTTCTTTCTTTGCTTTGGGTGGGTTGGGGATGGAATGGGAAGGTATGAACTTATTTACTGCCACAAACTTGAATGGATATTACCTGTATTGCTCCAATAATCATTGCAGTTATTTGTCTAAAGCTATTATTCCTACACGATCACATGCATATATGCAGATGTATACATGTATGCGTATCCATGGTTTCATTTCCTCCCCCTGATGATCACATGGGAAGGGAACCCCAAATTTGAATGGACTGTGACTCAATTTTGTAATAATGCTCACTATACAAGCATGTAATACCAAGAGTTTTGTGGGAGCTTATAAGTGGATACACACTGCTCTATGTTTTATAGATTCTCTAATCCTTGTCCTGAGTAAGGAAATGATATCCTGTATGTCTCTTTTATTCATTTTGTAAAAGTAAACCATCGGGATCAATTTCCTTGCTAAACCCAGGTTACTTATCTGTTGTACTGATGATAAGTAAATTATCTATCCAAAATTTCTCTTGCTATCCACTGGTTAATTACCTTGTGACACGATCAGTAACAATCTACAAGCGTATAATAACCTTATTGATGACAGGTTGAGGTATTTTGTGCTGGTTTGTCTTTTATTCATCTAATCCAGTTTTTCCTGGATTATTATAATGCAGGTTGATATAATGTTAAAGGAACTTCCAAAGGAGGAATATGGGCCTGGGATTGATATTAGGGAGTATTCATTTTTTCAGAATCCATCTGTGCCTCAGCAGGTTCATGTTTTAGAGTAGCTTGTGCAAAATTTACATTTAAATTAACATTACACTTCCTCTCTGCTTAAATAAATAATATTCTGGTCACTCATTTCAGGTGAAAGATTCATGGCTTGATGTGCAACTTTGTCAAGAAGGGTCACGTGGCTGTGAAGTTTCAAACAGCACAATTCGATCGGGAATTCTCAAGTTCCCTAAGCGAAGTACAGAAGAAACGGTACCTTTGAAGTTTGAATAGGCTTCTTTTTTTTTTATATATTTATTTATACTTTATGTAGTACTTATATGGCCTTATTGTAGTTAATTTTGTTTTAAATTTATAATATTTAAATATGAAATTCATGGACCACATGCCCCGACTAAAAACACATGAACTTCTTGCTGGGCATACTTCTTTCAGACAATTTATAGATATTTCTGTTTCCTGAAAAAATCTAGAGTAGTGATGTTGCTTAGATTTTTATAATTATGATTCTTACTCAACACATGGTTGGAAGTACCCGTATAGAAACCTCGATCGAATGACTATTTTGTCCCTTGTAAACAGTTGAAGACCATATTCTCATCCTTCAAAGATGTCAAAGTCATCCAGTTTTCATCAATGCAAGAAGCCTTCTTAGGATTCACGGACAAGGTGCACTCTTCTTCCCAACACCACATTTTGACCCATCCTTTTCTGTTTCTCCTTTACTTTTCCTTCCGTTACTAATCACAATTTTTTTGGGGTGATTACTGTCAGACAAAGGAAGAAAAATTCAGGAAGCGTGTAAAGCTGTATACGGGCATATGGTGCTGTGTAGAACATAAAACTCCAGGCCACATATATTACGACATGTATTGGGATGAAAAACCTGGTTGGAAACCTAAACCTCCTCAGACTCCTCAAGAGGACCATCCCCCATTATGAGGTTTAACTTTGAACTGCACAAACATTTTCTTTTTCCCTTTTTTTCTTTATAAAGTCTGAGGAGAAATGTAAATCAAAACAAGAGGAGAAAGATGGAAGTAGCATAACCCACGTTATTTAAGACTGTCTATTGAGAAGTGTATGTTCTAAAATCTATGTACTAAGGCTAGTGTTAGAAATTCTGTGTAACACTACAAATAATGATGGATATTTAATATAATAATTTATGTGTTTGTAATATTCTGATGGATATTGAATAATAACTAGTGTTGTTAAATTAAACCACATATATTTTACCTCATAAAATTTACCACATAAATAATACCTATGTGGCCCCTAACTTTCCAAAAAATGATTACGTTAATTAAGATAAAAATTATTACATTTTATATTAATTGAGTAATAATTATATTATTTTGTTGTATCATATAATAGTTATTATTAGAACTAATAATTATATTTTACACTCATGATATATGAAAGTTACATAAACATAAAAAAATATGTCGTAAAATTTTTTGTTCAAGTTATTTATTCTAAAATCAATATTATATTTTTTTATCGGATTAAGCGATTGTTTTCTAAATAAATTAATTTATTTTAATGTCATAGTTAATGTTATTAAAATCGCATAAGCAATTATTATAATATATTTAATATTTTTTAACAAATTAATTGGTCATCATCTCTCAAAATTACAAATATTACATTATTTGTTATATTTTATGCAATCAATATAGTGATTCATATGCAATCAAATAGTTACGTACTATTTATTTTAATCAATGATCAAATTTTAAAACATAATACCACTATCTAACTTAAAATTTTAATATTACATGCATAAATATAACTTATAATACTGTATGTTTAAAATTTAATATCATTATCTAACTTATAATTTTAATATTATCTCTATATAAAAAATTTATAATATTTTATTTATATATGTGCAAATGTACATGATCAAATACTTAGTTTATTCTAATTGATTTTGAATAGTTAATGTGATCTTCATGTTCAAATATTTATTTTTCTAACCAAAACAAGTTTATATTATTATAATTATGATGATGGTGATGGTGATGATGTAGTGATTAAATACACATGATTATTATTATTTTTTTTTTGCTGTGAAAAAACTAAGAAAAATAGTAATTAAATTCAGTCATCACTATTAATTATTATCACTTTTAAAAAAGGTTAATTGCAGATAAAACTCTAACCTTTTGTTAAATTGAAGATAAAACTCCACTTTATAAGTTTGGCAAAAAAAAATACTAACCTTTCATAATTGTGTCTCAACCGCCACCTGTCGCCGGCCAACTTTGCCGGATGTTGAAAATTTTTACATGATCTTGTAGCTCTCATTCGTGCTGACAACATATCCGAGTTTCACGGAAAAATTCTAACGATAAGGCTTCCAATTTTCCGGTCAAACCTCGTAGATCTACAAATTTTATCAGGCTCTTTCACAAATTCCCGGTGACTCGCTTTGACCCACGTGAATCGGAACGTACCGTTGAACTCCTCTCTCAAAGCCGCATCTATTGACGTCCACCTTCGCCGGAACCGGTGACGACTTTTTCGGTCATCTCCTTATCGTCGGAATTTTTTCGTGAAACTTGGATATGTTGTCGACACGGAGGAGAGCTACAAGATCATGTAAAAAATTTCAACATCCGGTGAAGTTGGCCGGCGGCGGGGTGCAGTTGAGACACAATTGCAACACTTCTGAAATATTAGTATTTTTTTATCAAATTTATAAAGTGGAGTTTTATTTGCAATTTAACAAAAGATTAAGGTTTTATCTGCAATTAACCCTTTAAAAAATCATATTATCCATAACGTGTTTCAATTACTACTAACGTAGAGTGAGTAGATATGTTAAAAATTCACCACTGAACACATTAAATTTAAAAATTCAATTATAATTTAAAAATTCAGAATAAATAACTTACTTATCATTTGAAGTTCAAATTTTTACTACGCTCAGACGCACATCACATATCCAAAATTCAGGAAGAAATAAGTTATTATCGATTTATAATAAATTTTTGAAATTAGCTCACCCAAATACTTGGCAGCACAACCACAACAATCAAACTCATACAAAAATTTATCTATTCATAACTTTGTAGATATTGGAATATAATTAAAAGTGATAAAACTAATAGATCATTATTGATATTGAATAGATCTTCAAAATTACCTTGACAGAAAAGACACGATTCTTTTATAGGGCATAAACTAGTGCTTGACGAGAACATTAGAGAAAAAAAAAAACTTGAACGAGACACAGAAGAGAGAAACCGTCAAAGATCGTTCGGCCTTTCTCTAATGTACACTGTATTTCCCCTTGTACCCATAAATAATAATTATTTATAATATGAACAATTTCCTCATGGGGGCACGTATTAGTTTGAGAAAGGATTGAATATCCAATTGAATCTTCACTTTACATCTCCTAAGGAAGATTTATTTATATATCTGTAATTGTAATCGTTCGGCCTTTTAACTGCAACACTATATGCAGATTTTGTGCCCAAAAGAAAAGAAAAAATACATATATTTGAACGAAAATTTCCCTCTATAGAAAAGATCATATGCTCATTTCTAAAATTCAAAAAAAATTCGCCAAGTCGATTTCCACACTTCCATCTCCAGCTATTTTTCGACATCCCAACAATTTCCGCATACTCGCACGAACTTGTTCCACGATTTCACTGGCCGACGGTCTTTTTTCTCACGCACACAATGTATATGACAAAATGCTCCACAGAAACCATCAGCCTGGACCTTCTACCCTCACTTCTTGTGATCCTTCCAAGCTTCTCAAGTCCGCCACAACGGAGCCAAATTACACAATTGCCCCAATGCTCCATGCTCAGGCCGTCAAACAAGGCGCACTCACGGATTTACCCACCGCCACTCGTCTGCTCATGGTTTACTCGAGACGTAAGGAATTTGTGTCCTGTTTAGATCTATTCAGTGAAATTCTCGACAAAGATATCGTCTTCTGGAATGCCATGATGAGCGCGTGCGTCGAGAACAGACGTTTCCAATCCGCAGTCGATTTTTTCGAGAAAATGGCCCGTGGGGCCCACGGGTTCGACCACACGACCCTTCTCGTACTTCTATCCGTATTTTCGAACCTGAAAAGCCTCAAGCACGGTAAAATCGTTCACGGGCTTGGTTTGAAATCCGGGATGCTTTCCGAAACTGTTTTGAGCAATAACCTGGTTGATATGTATGCCAAGAGTGGAGATTTGAGTTCGGCCCAATTTGCTTTTTCCGAGATAGAATCCAAAGACCAAATCTCGTGGAACTCGATCATCAGTGGGTGTTTTCAAAACGGCAAGCCTGAGAAGTCCCTTTCATATTTCGTGCAGATGTTTTCTTCCGGAAGCCGAGCGGATGACACGAGCCTCTCTTGTGCAATGGCGGCTTATACTTTTCTGCAGGCATACGACTTTGGTCGAGGGATTCATGGGCTGGGAATCAAATCGGGCTATTCGGATAGTGTCTCGGTTGCTAACTCTCTTATCTCGTTCTACTCTCAGTCACGAGATATATGCGCGGTGGAAATTATTTTCTTTAAACAAATGACGGCCAAGAATGTCGTTTCTTGGAATGCCGTGATCAAGGGTTTTCTCGTGTGCGGGGAAAATGCGAAAGCGTTTGCTCTTTTGCGCGAGATGCAGTTTGTGGCATTTATTCAACCCGACATGACGACATTAGTTACTGTAATTCCGTACTTGGCCGAGCTAATGCTTTTACGTGAAGGAAAAGCTGCTCATGGCTGCGTATTTAGGAGGGAAATGATGTCGGAAGTACCAGTCGTCAACGCTCTCATTAATTTGTATTCGAAATGTGGAAACGTGAAAAAGGCCGAATTTTTATTCTCGATCATGCCTAAGAAGGACTCGGTGGCATGGAATACTATGATATTCGGACACGCCCAAAACGGGAAATCTCGGGAAGCACGGGAACTATTCAAGAAAATGATGGGTTGTTGTTACACGGCACGCACGTTGGCGACTCTACTGGCTATTATTCCATCTTGCGACTCTCGAGAATCACTCGAGTTCGGGAGGTCGATTCATGGTTGGAGTATGAAAATGGGATTTTCAAACCAAATATACGCCTCGAACTCGATCATGCACATGTACATCAATTGCGGGGTCCCATCAGCCGCGTTTGCATTATTCGAGAGTCTATCGAGAAAGGCCGATATCACGAGCTGGAACACCGTTATAGTCGGCTGCAGTCAGAAAGGCCATTTTCATGAAGCTTTAGTATTTTTCGACCGAATGAGAAAAATGTACTCCCAACTCCACCCGAATTCCATAACCCTAGTAAACGCCATATCGTCTTGCGGGAATCTCGGTTTACCGCTTCACGGAAAATTACTTCACGGCCTTGCGGTAAAATCCGGAGCAAGTACTAATCTTCAAGTGCAAAACTCACTAGTGACGATGTACGGCAGAGTAGGAGACACCGATAGCGCGAAATTGGCTTTCGACCTCAATAATGACCATAATCTATGTTCTTGGAATTGCCTTATATCGGCCGTCTCGCAAAACGAGGACGCGAAAATCGCGCTCGAACTCTTCCGCTCTCTCGATTTTGAGCCGGACGAGATCACCATCTCTACAGTCCTCTCTGCTTGCGCTCAACTCGGAGATGTAACTCATGGCACACAAATACACGGACACGTTGTTCGATTAAATTTCCACAAAAACCCCTATATATCTTCTGCTCTGATAGACATGTATAGTAATTGCGGGAAGCTGGAATTAGCCGAACGGGTTTTCTCGAGCATGCCCGAAAAATCGGTCTCCGCTTGGAATTCGTTGATTTCGGGCTACGGGTTTCATAACTCGGGCCCGAAAGCGGTGGAGAAATTCCGAGAAATGGTGCATTCGGGAGTCCGGCCCACGAACGGCTCGTTCACGAGCCTCCTCTCTGCATGCGGGCAATCGGGGATGATCGACGATGCCAGGAAATATTACGAGAAAATGTGGGCCGAATTTAATATACGGCCCACGAACGAGCATTATGTGTGCATGGTGGACATGTTGGGCCGGGCTGGGAAATTGGAGGAGGCTTTTGAGTTTGTGAGGAGTTTGGCGGGAAAGAGTGAGGCGGGGGTTTGGGGAGCGCTTCTGAGTGCGTGTGGGTATTATGGGGATATTGAGATGGGGAGGAAAGTTGGGGAGGTTTTGTTTAGGTTGGAGCCGGAGAATGTGAGTTATTATGTGGCTTTGTGTAATATGTATGTTGGTGCGGGTATGTGGGAGGAGGCTGTGAGGTTGAGGGATGTGATTCGGGAAAAACGGCTGAGGAAAGAGGCTGGTTATAGTTCTGTTGATGTTTTTGGTGTGAGGTGAGGATGTACAAGTGCTTTTGCTTTTTTTGGGGCAAAGAACTGTTGCGTTTATGTTTTCAGTTATGTCTGAGATTGGGTTTAATACAAAACCCATTTTGAGGTTTGTCTATCCTTGTACTCTCCACACACAGGCAGATGGAGAGCAGATAGAGAGAGAGAGACATTTATGTAGGCATAGAGAGATAGAGAGAGAGAGAGAGAGAGAGAGCAGATAGAGAGAGAGAGAGAGAGAGAGATNNANC